GGCTAACATGAAAGCGGAAAATGAAGCAAGGGAAGCAGAGAGAGCAGCAACGTCAGCACAGAGAGAAACAACATATCAGCAGAGATGTGAAGAATTTGAAAAATGAGTCAATGATATGATGTAGATGATACATAAAACACAACCTCAGAATCCACCATCATAGTATCATTTATGTTATCAGCATTCTGTTAATGTTACTGAACCGTGTTTAACTGAACTTGTATTACGTTAATGAAAACTTTTATTTATTATATTGGATTTGATGTTGCTTGTTATGGATATAGAGTTTAATGGTATTGTTGTCATGTTTGTTGGATAATGGAACAGGCTGAAAAAATAGATTTGGGGTAATCGAACATAATTTTTAAATTGGTTAAATTATGTGTTATTTAGCGGCGTTTGTAACAAAAACGCTGCAATATACCATACATTTAGCGGCGTTTGTATCCTAAAAACGCCGCTATATACCAGACCTTTAGCGGCGTTTGTATCCCAAAAACGCCGCTATATACCATACCTTTAGCTGCGTTTTTATAAAAAAAACGCCGCGAAATCTCAACACCTATTGCGGCGTTTGTGCCAAAAACACCGCTAAATATCAAAACCTATTGCGGCATTTGTAAGACAAACACCTCTAAATATCGTTACCTTTTGTGGTGTTTTTTGTTAACAAACGCCGAAAACTTTAGTGGTGCTTTTTGCGGCGTTTGTCATAACGCCGCAGGTTTTTTTGCGGCGCTTAAAAGTGTCGCTATAGGAAAAAAATACCGCAAAAAGCCAATTTTATTGTAGTGAGGAAAGCTTATATAAGCTTTAAACATCAAGAAAAAATATTTAGAAAGGAAATTAGAAAAGGGATTAAGAGATTAATTGTTTAAATAAAGAGGTTTTGAAGTTTTAATATGAATTTAACTTGTTATAAAAAGGATTAAGAAGTTTAAAGTGTTAGAATTAGATTTAGAACATATTGGAAATTGAGTTTAATTTTTGAATTCCATGTAGAGAATAGGATTTTGAAGTTTAAGATGTGATAAATGAGTATAAATGAGTTTAAGCATATGTATGTGAGTTAATAACATGAAAGGGGAAGAAATATGGAGTGTTGAAGCAGAAAAGAGTGAATTTTTGTGCTTAAAACGTGATTTTTGGGCTGGGTGTGCCGGTACCCTATGAACTGGTACCGATACACTAAGACCAATTTTGAAGAACATCTTCAAGGAGTATTGATACATTAAGGAGTGTATAGATACACTCCTTGAAATGAAAATTTTGAATGTAATTTATGTACCGATACATAGGCAGTGTACCGATACACCAATAAAGGGATGTACCGATACCCTATAGTGTGTACCAATACACTTCAAAGGGAAAATGGAAATAGATCTTTCTTTTAGTTTAAGAAATCAAGGATTGAATCATAGTATTTGGAATGTTGATGTGTATACATGATTGTATAGATATCGATCACAAGCAAAGTTCTAATAAGTCGTCAGAGTAAGATTCACAAGATAGAACAAGAGCTTGGTAGTGTCCATTGAGACAGGTGAGTGCATGATGATAAGAAAAAGTTATGATACAAAATTAAGACTTGTGATAAGTCTAATTTAATTCCTATATTAGATTTCATGAGTATGTATTACGTGTATGAGATTTATATGAATATATAATAGCATGAGTCGAAGCATGATTAAGATTATGTACTATGTGAATGTGCTTTGCTTGCATTACATGTTATGTGATATGTGTTATATGATAATGATCTATGAAGCAATACAAGAATGTTACCTAAGTTACTTGATAATAATCCATAAGATTACATGCATATGTAATATAAGTTATAAAATAAGAAAATATGTGTTTATATGTATATGAGAAGATATATGAACAAGAAATAAGCAAAGTGATTTGTGAATATGAAATCATATGAACAAGTGACATGAGCTAGGTGATGACATGCTATATAAATACAAGAACTTGTGATATAATATATGAGATAAGAAGATATGAAACTCCAAGTGAGTATTACACGATATATGTGATAAGAAGTCATGAACTTATATGTGTATATGACATGAATATGTGAAAGTGTGATAAAAGAATAATAATACCCATGTTATGTGTTATGAGATATAGGGGTATAGTTGGCATGCCAAGAGTCGAGGGTTCTACGTGGTCCTTTGGGACATATGTGTTTTATGTGGTCCTTTGGGACATAGTGGTCATTCGGGACATAGTGGTCATTCGGGACAAATTCTACACGCCCCTAGTGGAAATTATACGATCTGTGGTGTCAGCATATGTGCACAACCTCTATGTACTCACATACCTTTAGTTATCAAAAGTGTACATGGTCATTAAAGATAATAAATAACTTGTTATGATAATATGTGTTCCGTGGTGAAATGGTATATGTGCTATATGACGTATATACATAATAAGTTCATAATGATAATAATAAGTTCATAATGATAATAATAAGTGCATATGTGTATTGGTTATATGAAATGATATATGATTATGTATGATCTGATAGCAGTAATGATTCATGCATTGTGGTTAATAAGAGTTTATGTTATATGTTTAGGGCAAATATGTGCTTATATGATAGAAAGGAATTAAGGTTAATAAATTATGTGACGATAAGCATGTTAATGATGGTTAAGTATGTATAGCAGTGTAATGTTGTATGATATGATATGTACATGTATTTGTTAGTTACATATGTATTTGTATGTCTCACTAAGTCTATGACTTAGTGTGTGAGTGTTTCACACGCAGATTTTGACAAGCTTATGGATTGTTCAGGTGCAAGACAGGTCAGTTTCTCCTTACCGAAGGTCAGATCAGAAGAAAAATGAATAATATGTATTTTATTGTATAAAAATCTAGTTGGCATGTAGTTAAAAGATTTGAATTGTATAAGCTCTGATAAGTTTGGTAAACTCTTTAAATTAAATATTTGTGTAAATTATGTATTTTGGATTAATAAAAGTTAGCAATTTTGTTCTTTTGGAAAAAGTAAAAGTTTTGAAAAGTCAATATGACACCTCAGATTCGGATCCGGGTCGGATTCTGGTTGGGAGTGTTACACATTTGGTCAAATTCACCATGACCAAATAAAATAACATCTTATGTTATCATATCTTGAAATTCTACCTTTAGAATTCTACAAGCTTCTCGTTGTGGCTTACAACCATCTACACCGTTGAATTTAAATTCAAAGTTTGAGTTGGAACCAACGTTCCAAATCACAAATTAGGTGAATCACTTAGATTACCCATTATTTCATTTAACGCGAAATAATTCTAACAATAAACCAAAATTAAAATTTGATTTATTCAATAAACATAATTTAGTAATGAACTAAAATTTTGAAATAAACCAATAACAAAGTTTTATTTCCCACAATTTCCATCGATAGAAATCAATTAATTCTGTTATGCGACAAAATTAAAATCTCAATTGATTTAAAAAAACAAAATAAAAATTTCAATAAACAAAAAATTAATTTATTTTCGATTTTGTTATCAGACATAATCAATATTCTGGAAAAAAAAAATCAGTAATCGTAGTTACTTTCACAACAATTTCTGTTATACGGATTTGTCAACTTTGGGATTTTAGTAAACCCGTTAAGATGGCAGGATAAATCGCGAAACAATTTTTTTACTATCTCGTTTTCCCACAATTCCAAATTATCTCGGATCAAGAAAGGTAGAAGATGAATCTGTTGTAAGATCATTATCCAAGAGTAATAATCCGAGACTAAATTGGAACCTGAGAAAAAGTAAAAGAAGGGATCAAATTCTTTAAAAATAAAAAGAGAATTAAAAAGAAATAAAATACTCTTTATATTTGATCATCTGATCGGAATCGTTGAGTCCTGTCGCTACACAGTTTTCTTAAGATAAATTTTCGGTCACTCGTGTTAGACGTATTTGGTCGCAGGTAGTGAAGCAAACAAAAGTCACGCACTTCTTTGAACTTCCTGGTTGGAAATGAATTTCCAGGAAAAAAAAGGAAATTTCTCCATTTTTGGAATAATTATTTTACAATTGTGCGTTGGAATATTTGGAAGAGACAGAATGCTATGCTATTTGATAATCATTTGGTAGAGAGATGGAACATTGTTGTGGAAAGCATTCATTTCTGGGAGGAAATAAACCGTTGCAATGCTGCACAGTCCTGTGTATAAGCTCAACAAAGAAAAACAAAACTAGGGTAAATTATGCATTTAGTACCTAAACTATCAGTTTTGAGCTGTTTTAGTATCTAAACTTTTAATTTGTCAAAATTATACCTAATGTTTAGTATGTGTTTCATTTTAATAAGCCAATATTAAAAACTTAAAGTTGTTAGGTACTAAAATGGGCCAAAACTAATAATTTGGGTACTAAACGCATAATTTACCCAAAACATTATCACTTACACATGATACATAAATTAATAGCAAGATTTAACATAATAAATTTAAAGGTTATTGTTTAGGTTGGGACTAAAATTTTAAAAGTGCATAACTAAAAATAATCAAATTAAAATGCAGGGGCTAATCCCCAAGTTATATATAACACTTGGACTAATAGAAAGCATTTGGCCATTACATACAGCTTGATTAAAATGGGATTTTCCACAAAGTCCTCACATATCGATCTGTTTTCACCAAATAATTATTAACCGTCCGATCCTTCATTCAAATTACCAAAACTCTAAAACTAGTAAATCACTATATACAGGAATAAATCACATCCAATCCTTGAAGATAGATTCATGAAATCTCTACTATTTTGGTAACATGTTTGATATTTTGACTGGTTTATTTATGGGAGGTGGAAGATTTATGGATTTGTATAGCCTTTAGTAGTTATGCAACAAAGAATAAACCGGATTTTATGCCATTTTTCAGAAGGAAGTATTATTTGTAGCCATGGTTAATGTCAATTGGCATGCATTGTGAATTTTGAAATCAGCTACCGCCTGTGGCTTTCTCTCCTCCTTTGTTAGGAAAAAACTAATCTTCATTGTTGAACCTGTTGCAGAAGCTTCAGCATCAGTTTTCTCTTTTAACAATCATGGAGAAGAAAGGGAGAGTTGTAATGGAAAAGTTCGAGCTCGGGAGATTACTCGGACAAGGAACGTTTGCCAAGGTTTACTACGCAAGAAACACGACAACAGGCCAAAGCTGCGCCATTAAAATCATCGACAAAGAGAAGATAATGAAAGGCGGTTTGATCGACCAAATAAAACGTGAAATCTCTGTGATGAGACTCGTAAAACATCCCAACGTCGTTCGTTTGTACGAGGTAATGGCGAGCAAGTCGAAGATATATTTTGTAATGGAATACGTTAAAGGCGGAGAGCTTTTCGGTAAAGTCGCCAAAGGTAAGCTCAAAGAAGACGATGCCCGACCGTATTTCCAACAGTTAATCGCAGCTGTCGATTATTGCCATAGCCGAGGCGTTTATCACCGCGATTTGAAGCCTGAGAATCTGCTTGTCGATGAAAATGGAAACCTTAAAGTTTCCGATTTTGGATTGAGTGCTTTGAGGGAATCGAGGAGACAAGATGGCCTTCTTCATACAACATGTGGAACACCGGCTTATGTTGCTCCTGAAGTTATAGACATGAAAGGCTACGATGGTGCCAAAGTTGATATTTGGTCTTGTGGGGTGATTCTTTATGTTTTGTTGGCTGGTTTTCTTCCATTTCACGATGAAAATTTGATGGAGTTGTATAAAAAGATAAGAAAAGGTGAATTTAGATGCCCCCAATGGTTCCCGCCAGAGGTTCGTAAGCTTCTTTCCAAGATTCTTGATCCTAACCCTAGTCATCGAATCACGGTAGCCAAACTCATGGAAAATAGTTGGTACAAGAAAGGATATAAACATATCGATACCCCACCGTCGACACCCGATCGGGATCGTAATAATGACTCGATCATCGAAGACGTTCATGCGGCGTTCGACGACTGGTCCTCTTTGCCACCAGGAAACGTGGATGATGGTGACGGTAGTGTTTAAACCAAACTCTTTGATTTTAGTTTCCGTAACATCTATTAAATTATCACTTTAACCTATATTCATTTTTTTGGTATTTTGGATTCCAAAGTTCCATTTTGGAACAAAATGTCATTTTGTGAATAAAATCAGTTAGTCAACAAACGGTTAATACTCTAAATTATTGTCTTTTTCCCCCTAAAATAAAATTTTGAAGGTAAAGAAAATGATTAAAGTGACTATTTAGTCCAACATTAATTCTCTTTTTGCCCTCAAATGAAACATTAAGGTCAAAATACTCAAAAAAAAAAATATAGATCAACATTATTATCTAATCAAACATTTGAGGTACATTATGATAATATAGCTTTATTATAAAGACTAAATGGGCTCACAATGTTTGTCAAAGTTTTGTTCCACACAGGTAAGACGCAAGGGTGCATTGTGACACCAAGTTTCTTCAATGCGTTCGATCTCATTGCACTCTCACAAGGTTTCGATCTATCGGGTTTGTTCGAGGAAGATTTGGATCAAAGGGATTGCTCTCGATTCACGTCGAAAAAACCGGCTATCGATATCGTTTCCAAGTTCGAAGAAATAGCTCAGAGTGAGTGCTTTCGGATAATGAACAAAGATGGGAAGGTAAAATTGCAGGGAGTTAAGGAAGGGAGGAAGGGATTGCTGGCCATTGATGCTGAGATATTCGAGGTTACGCCTTCCTTTTATGTGGTGGAGATGACCAAAACGTCTGGGGATACGTTGGAATATAAGAAGTTTTGTAAGCAAGAACTCAAGCCTTCGTTGAAGGATATTGTTTGGGCTTGGCAAGGATCGGAGCAGCAAACCATCGATACTTAATATGGCTTAACAAGCTTTGCTTTGATTTCAGTCCTTTTTTGTGTCTTCAATTATATATATGTATGTTTGCAAATTTATTGGTGAAAAAATTAATAAACTGATAAATGAAAAAAATAAAAATTACTTTTATTTAATATTTAACTCATTTAGTCTATTTCTACAATCACGAAACAATAAAAATGTCATTCTATTGGATTTATAATTTTATACAAAAATAAAAGTATAAACCCCTCTCGCAATAAGTTTATAACGTTTACAAGTAGGAATTTACAAGTTTATGATCATATTATTTATCACCAAAAATTATTTACTAAGATATTTTATCTATTAATTATCATCTAATAAATTAATTAAACTTATAAATTATTTTTAATTAATAAATTTATAACATAATTTTTATTAAATACAATAAATCTAAATTAATCTCACAATAATGTAATGCTACCCAAAATATGCATAGTTTCTTGCGCTCCTTGGCGTTCAATTTCTTTCCCTATTATGTACTTTTTTTTTGGTTGGAAAAGAGCATAAAGCTAAAGAAACTACATACCTAATAGTATACTATCCTATTCTAACCTTCTAAGTAAGACGTCTAGAGGATGAGGGAATTCACGCATTCATTCCTGGACGGACCGTGCATACTTGGCTATCATGTTTGTCGTTTTGTTTGCTTCTCTTGGGGAGTATTCTAGAGTGAATGTCCATTCCCGGGCGAGCATGGTATCAATATGTTGTAATATGGTTAGTTGTCTCTCCTTATGCTTGCCATCTTTCGATCAGCTTCACGGCTTCGCTACTGTCAACTTCGATTATCACCTGCTTCTCGCCTCTTTCCAGGTTTTACGAAGTCCTTCAAGTATGCCCCATATGTTGAAAATTCAAATTTGAATTTGGCAAGGGGCGGCTGGCAATTTGGCAAGGGGCGGCTAAACCATTTACAAGATTAGTCATTAAGTTCCAACTATAAATACCCTAACTCATTTAGCTTCAAAATCATTCCAAATCATTTATTTTTTCCAATACTAAAAAGTTTAGAGAGTTTTATTGTGAGTTGTGAGTGTTTTGTAAACACTTGTAAATTTTCTCTCTTTAGTAAAAGATCTGCAACAGTCTGGAGACGTAGGCATAATTGGCCGAACCCCGTTATCAATTTCGAGTATTATTTTTCCGCTTTTATTTTGCAGTCTCACTAATCTGGTTATAGGGAAATTTCTCGTTTTATTTCCCAACAACTAGTATCAGGAGCTTTTGGTGGTTAATTTTGTCGATTTTTCTGTGAGGTTATTATTCACGTGAATAGTGAATTTCGTGAATAGTAAAATTTGGTCGTTACTATGAATTTATCGACGGATGTGTTCTAATACACGGTGGTTCGAAATAATTGTTAGAAACGATCCAAAAGAAGCCAGATTCGAGTGAAAGCAATAGCTGCAGACGAAGGTAAGGTGAAATTTGAGAAGTTCGATGGTGCAGACTTTGGCTTTTGGAAGATGCAGATTGAAGATTTTCTGTACCAGAAAAATCTATATCAACCTCTCTCAGGAAAGCAACCAGAGGGCATGAAGAATGAAGACTGAGCTCTTCTCGACAGACAAGCCCTCAGAGTTATCCGACTGACGTTATCCCGCAATGTTGCTTTCAACGTAGCAAAGGAAAAGACCACGGCATGTCTTATGGCAGCTCTCTCCAGTATATATGAGAAGCCATCGGCCTCAAACAAAATTCATTTGATGAGACGATTATTCAATTTACGGATGGCGGAAGGGGCATTAGTGGCTCAACACCTAAATGAACTCAACACAATCACAACCCAGTTGAGTTCCGTGGAAATTGAATTCGATGATGAAGTTCGAGCTTTAATTCTCTTATCATCTCTACCAGACAGTTGGAATGATACTGTTACAGCAGTCAGCAACTCGTCAGGAAATAGTAAATTGAAATTCGATGATGTTCAGGATCTGATAATGAGTGAAGAAACTCGATGGAGAGAATCGGGGGAAGCATCAAGCTCCTCAGCCTTGTACACGGAGTCTAGAGGGAGAACTTCATAAAGAAATTCAAATCTTGGAAGATCAAAATCCAGATGGAAAATCAAGAACATGAAAGAAAGATTTTAACTGTTATAATTATGGCAAGAAGGGTCACTTTAAAAGAAATTGTCGAGCACCGAAGAAAGATACCGGCGCACATGAATTTGCCAACATGACAGAGGAGACAGGTGATGCCATGATTCTAAGCATCAACAGTCCGATTGAATCATGGATCTTGGATTCAGGGGTATCTTTCCACTCCACCCCATGCCAAGAAATCATGGAGAACTATGTCAATTTTGGGAAGATTCATCTAGCTGATGATGAAACCTTGAAGATCGTCGGAAAATGAGACATTCGATTAAAGTTGACAAATCAGACCACCTGGAAGGTGAAAGGAGTGAGACATATTCCTGGTATCAAAAGAAATTTTATTTCTGTAAGACAACTTGATAGAGAAGGATATAGTACAACCTTTTCAGGATGTGAATGGAAGATTACCAAAGGAGCACTCGTCATTGCTCTTGGTAAGAAGACTGGTACTCTCTATGTAACCTCAAACTTAGAGAATATCATTGCAATAGCAGATGTTGATGGAAAATCAAACCTATGGCACCAAAGTCTTGGCCATATGAGCGAGAAATGGATGAAGACACTTTTGTCAAAAGGGAAGCTGCTGGATCTAAAGAATATAGATGTCGGACTATGTGAAGATTGCATTTTTGGAAAACAAAAGAAAGTCAGTTTTGTAAAGATTGGCAATACACTCAAGGCTGAAAAAGTTAGAGTTGGTTCATACTAATGTATGGGGACCATCTCTTGCAGGCTCACTATATTATGTCACCTTCATCGATGATTCTACAAGGAAGGTGTGAGTTTATTTTCCGAAGAAGAAATCAGAAGTCTTTGATACCTTCAGAAAATGGAAGGCCATGGTGGAAAATGAGACTGGTTTGAAAGTTAAGCGGGTTGAGGTCTGATAATGGAGGAGAGTACAAAAATAGTAGATTCAGAGATTTCTGTTCAAATAATGGGATCAAGATGGAGACAACAGTTCCCATGACACCGCAACAGAATGACGTAGCAGAGCGCATGAACAAAACTCTGAATGAACGTTCCAGAAGCATGAGGATACATGTCGGATTGCCCAAATTACTATGGGCTTAAGCTATCAACACTGCAGCTTACCTAGTCAACCGTGGGCCCTTAGTTCCCTTGGATGGTGGAATACCATAGGAAGTTTGGAGAAAGAAAGAAATAAACCTTTCACACTTAAGAGTGTTTGGTTGTATTTCTTATGTACACATAAATTTTACTGAAAGAAGTAAACTTGATGCCAAATCCAACAAATGTGTCTTTGTTGGTTATGGTGGTGATGAGTTTGGTTACCGGTTTTGGGACTATGAAAATCGAAAGATCATCAGAAGCAGAGATGTCATTTTCAATGAGAATGTGATGTACAAAGACAGATCAACCATAGAATCAAGTAGCTCCAATACCGAAACCGAAACAAAGGAATTTGCTGTGTTTGAGGAGATTTCCGGAAATGATGTTCAGATCAGTCCTGAAGAAGTTCAAGAAGAACCAGGCACACCAGAATTGAGACGCTCCTCCAGAATTCCTAAACCAACCCAGCGTTATTCGTCTTCTTTGCACTACTTGTTGCTGACTGATAATGGTGAACCAGAGTGCTATGATGAAGGAATGCAGGTGGAGGATTCAGACAAGTGGGAGTCTTCCATTAAAGATGAGATGGACTCGCTTATGTCAAATCAGACGTGAGAATTAGTTGAATTACCACCAAGCAAGAAAGCGCTCCATAACAAGTGGATTTATAGGATCAAAGAAGAGCACGATGGGAGCAAACGCTACAAAGCAAGATTGGTTGTCAAAGGTTTTCAGCAAAAAAATGTATCGACTACAATGAAATTTTCTCTCCAGTCGTGAAACTATCTACAATCAGATTGGTGTTAAAAATTGTAGCTGCAGAGAATCTACGTCTTGAGCAGTTAGATGTGAAGATAACTTTCCTTCATGGTGATATGGAGGAAGAAATCTATATGAGGCAGCCAGAAGGCTTTATAAAAGCAGACAAGAAAAACCTGGTATGCAGGTTGAAGAAGAGCTTGTATGGTTTAAAACAAGCTCCTAGACAGTGGTACAAGAAGTTCGATAGTTTCATGAGTAGCAGTGATTTTACCATATGCCAAGCATATCATTGTTGCTATATCAAGAAGTTCGACAACAACTTCATTATTTTATTGTTGTACGTTGATGACATGCTCGTTGTAGGCTCAGACATACAAGAGATTATAAACTTGAAGCAAATATTGTCGAAGTAGTTTGCAATAAAAGATCTGGGCACTGCAAAGCAGATTCTTGGGATGAAGATTAAGAGAGACACAAAGTCGGGGACTTTGATGTTATTACAAGCTGAGTACATCAACAAAGTACTCTCCAGGTTCAACATGCAAGATGCTAAACCAGTAAGTACACCTTTAGGTGTTCATTTTAGACTCTCCAAAGAACAGTCACCAAAGAAGGAGGAAGAACGTGCACACATAGTGAAGGTTCCGTATGCCTCAGCAATTAGAAGTCTGATGTATGCCATGGTGTGTACTAGACAAAATATTGCTCATGCAGTGGGAGTTGTTAGCAGGTACATGAATAATCCGGGCAAGGTACACTGGGAAGCAGTCAAATGGATCCTCAGATATCTGCGGGGTACCACAAACAAAGCACTTTATTTCAAAGGCGGGGATACGATACTGACAGGTTATGTAGATGTTGACTTAGCCGGAAATGTTGACATCAGAAGGAGCACTACAGGGTATGTCTATACTCTAGGAGGTACTGCAGTGAGTTGGGTCTCTCAACTACAGAAGATAGTTGCTCTTTCCACAACTGAAGCAAAATATGTCGCTGTTACGGAAGCCAACAAAGAGATGGTCTGGCTCCAAAGTTTCTTGT